TCTTGCATCTTATCCATTCTGCTTATAAATCCTTCCAGGGTTTGTTTCACCTCTGTGATCTCCTTCCTGACATCTGTGATCTCCTTCCGGACTTCATCCCATTGCTCTTGCATTTTTCTCTGCATCTCTTTCAGCATGTTCATGATTTTTATTTTGAATTCTTTTCAGGAAGACTGGTTAGGTCTGTCTCCTTCTCAGGTGTTGTCTCTGTGATCTTTGTCTGCCTGTAGTTTTGCCTTTTCATGGTGATAGAGATAGTTTGCAGAGCTGGTACGAGTGACGACTGGAAGAGCTTTCCTTCTTGTTGGTTTGTGGCCTTCCTCTCCCCCTTCGTGAGGTGCTGGGTTCTCGCAGGTGTGGATGTCGTCTGGATGTTTCCCTGTGTCCTCTGGTCTCTATTTTCGGAAGAGTTGTCTTTGTTATAGTTTCATAGATAAATGTGGTTTTGGGAGATTTCTGCTGCTCTACTCATGCCGCCATCTTGGCTCCGCCTTCTTGTGAGGTGGTGGGTCTGTGAGCTGGCCAGCCTTTTCTTTCACTGAGCACCAGCGGGTCTTTTGGAGATAGCATCTGGGGCAGAACTGAACCCAACAGTTGGGCCCTCCAGAACCTTGGCAGTAGGCAGCAGGAAAACTTTGGCTGTCTTTTTAGTCTCTTCCCCAGGCTTCTCATGAGGAATGTCCAGTATCCCTTTCAAGGTCCCGGCTATGGATTGCACAACTCCGGTAGCCAGGCGGAGTCTGGACGTAGGCGGAGCCGCGGCAGGGGCGAGAATGCCCCGCTGCAGACGCCACAGGAAGCCCCGAGTTTCCGAGTAGCCCATCAGCAGAATTTTTAACTGGGTTGCTTGTTTTCTTATTGTTGAATTTTACGGCTCTTTGTATACTTTGTATAATAGTCCTTTTTCCGATTTATCTTTCATAAATATTTTCTCCTAGTCTGTCGTTTGTCTTCTCATTCTCTTCAGTGTCTCTTGCAGAGCAGAAGTCTTTTATTTTAATGAAGCCCAGCTTACCAATTATTTCTTTCATGACCATGCCTTTGGTGTTGGATCTTAAAAGTCATCACCATACCCAAGGTCACCTTGAGTTTCTCCTATGTTATCTTCTAAAAGTTTTGTAATTTTGCGTTTTACATTTAGATCTTTAATCCATTTTTATTTAATTCTTATGAAGCACGTAAAGTATGTATCTAGGTTTATTTTTTTTGTATGTGGATGTCCAGGTGTTCCAGCACCATTTATTGAAAAGACTCATCTTAACTCCATTGTATAACCTTTGCTCCTTTATCAAAGATCAGTCAACTGTATTTATGTGAGCCTGTTTTAGGGCTCTGTATTCTGTTCTACTTAGGTATTTGCCTGTTCTTTCACCAATACCACATGGTCTTGATTACTGTAGCTTTATAGTGAGCCTTGAAGTTGGGTAGTGTTAGTACTCCAACATTGTTCTTCAATGTTTTGTTGGCTAATCTTGGTCTTTTGCCTCTTCATATAAACTTTAGAATTTGTCAATATCTACAAATAACTTGCTGGGATTTTGATTGGTAAGGCTTTGAATCTATAAATCAAGTTGAGAATGACATATTAGGATATAGTTTTAAGATTCCATCTATCTGGCAAGTTTGTTCATAGAATGGTACAGAATTAAAAGGATGCCCATAATCTCTGTTCTTATGTGGAAAATCAAGTTTATCCAAGTGGATGGAGAAACAGTCAGAATAATGACAACTACCCTCTGGCCATCAAATAAAATGATCCAAATGTAGAGCTGATTTGTTTTAATTGTTTGAAGAGGTCCTGTTTTCTTCATTTCTGCTTTCAGGCTAAGGAAAAAGCCTTTTTGACTCATTATCATGTCATATATCTCGTTTTCCATTGATACTCTTTGGGCATCATTGGAAACAAGGTGAGTCAGATACTCTCCTGGCCCTGTAAAAATCTACAATCTAGGAGGGGAAATAATGGTATAAACACACCTGTAGTAAAAGTTTTCCTCTATCATCAGGCCCTCGACTTAGGTCTAGTACTAGTGGCACCAGCTCCCTCTCCCGCTACCCCAACCACAGACTGAATCTTCCTGATGGCCTTACAATCAATTTCAAAGGTACTTGTTTTGTTTTGCTTTTAAACACAGCTTACTCTCAAAATCACTGTTCAGCTTGTGGTGATTACCCAGCAGTTCACTCTAGGGAGGTAGTGACCTCCCTTATTCTGTCCCTCGCCGCTCTCCCCATGTTGTCTGTTCAAGATGCCTTCCTGAGCACATAACAGCTGTACAGCTCACATGGCCTTAGGCTCCCATGTCTTGGACATTTCCAGGTGTCTCAAAACTACTGGAGAGAAGGGGTTATGACCATATTTATTCTGAAATAGTACTAGTCGTTTCTGCCTCTGCATGTCTCTCTGACACCCACATAATCGTGGCTATGGCAACAACTGAAAAGTCCTAAAGCTTTCAAAGCCTTGAAGAACTGGGACCATTTTTCTTGTCTTATTTTAGTGACAGATGCTCTTCAAATGCTAATCTATATTACCAGTAAGACTCTTTAAGTGACATAAACTTAGGAAATGTTTAGTTAAAATAACCATAAAGGTTTGTTTAAAACTTTTCATAGCCTTTCCCATGCTTTCTCTAAACTTAATTGACTGAGACAGTTGTCTTTTGAGGTGCCAGAATTAACATTCTCTAACAAATTAACCATTTCAGAAATGGAAATCTAAACCACAATAGGGAAATAATTTTTTTTAAGCTAAGGAGGTTTTTTTCTACACATAATTACAATTTCAAAAGAAATAGTCATAGAGTAATGTCACAAAGTGGTGGAGTAGGCATCTCCAAACATCCATGCCTCCAGGGAAACACTGAAAAACTACCAGAAACTGTCAGAAGCAATTTTGTCAGAACTCTGGAAAAGAAAAGTTTACAGCAGCCAAGTAATTGCTATGTTAAGAAAAAACAAAAAACAAGAAAGCTTTGTGGCATTTTTACTTACCCTTGCCAAACTCTTTTCCTGGCTTGGCAGCAGTTTTGAGGACAGCAGCCCACAATCTCAGTATGAGACCTTGATTTCTTTTTCCAGGGGGACAGAGCAGATCTTACCCACAAATTATGTTTGTCTGCCCTCACCTGTCTAGGGGCCATACTGAAGGATGAATACAAGGTGCTCATCTCTGGTGTGCCTTCACTGGAACTTAACTCAGGATGGAAAAGCAGCAGGTATTGCTTGAAAATATGGTAAGGAAATAAAATACACAACCACCTGGGGTGAAAGATTACAGCTGAGATGTACAATAAAATGCTTAAAAGCTGGGAGGGAGAGCCAAGGAGATGGTTTCTTTGGGATATCAGGGCATTCAAAAGCATCTGTATATATTGGGGAATTTAGAAAACACATGCATGCCCAAGACAGGATGTATACTCAGAAAAAACATGAGAAGACCCCACCTTTCGCCACTGGCTGATGTATATTTGGTGCGAGCAGCAAAAGAAAGCTGAGGCAGAACCATAAATGGTCTAAGTATTTAGAGAGTCTCCAGGCACAGAGCCAGACCATAAAGATGGGGACAGGTGTTTTGTTATTTCTGTTTTAAGATTCTGGCATTTAGTGAAATCTCTCAAAAACACTGGCTGCACACAGCTAAGTCTTTAACAATTAAAAACAGCAAACCCTGGGGAAAGGGGAGATTCTGGTTTCCAAAATTATTCTGTAATATTAAAATGTCTAGTTTTAAATAAAATTACAAAGCAAACATAGAAACAGGAAAGCATGGCCTATTTAAAGGAAAAATTAAATTTAAAGAAACCATCCCTGTGAACACCCAGACATTTCATTTCTTAGACAAACACTTAAACTATCTTAAATATGCTCGAGGTAAAGAAAATGAGGAAAACAATGTATGAACAAAATGAGAATGTCAATAAAGAAAAATAAAAAAGGAACCACATAGAAATTCTAGCACTAAAAAGTACAATAACTGAAATGAAAAAAATAGAGCTTCAGCAGCAGATCTGAGTAGGCAGAAGAACTTGAAGATGGAATGACTAAAATGATGCCATCAGGAGCAGAAAGAAAAACGAGCATAGCCTAAGGATTTTATGGGGAAACATCCAGCTTCACCAACATATGCATTATGGGGGTTCCAGAAGGAGAATAGAAAAAGAGAAGAAACAGTATTTGAAGACATAATGGCCCAAAACTTCCCATATCTGAAAGATATGAATCTACATATCCAAGAAATTCAGTAAAGTCGAAGCTGCACAAAAATCAAAGGGATCTACACTGAGACACACTGCAGTCAAATTGTTGAACAATGGAGACAGAGAATCTTAAAAGCAGCAAAAGAGAAGCAACTTCTAACATGCAAGGGCTCCTCAGTAAGATTAACAGCTAATTTCTCATCCAAAACTGATGGAAGCCAGAGGCAGTGACATGACATATTTATGGTGCTGAATGAAATAACTGTCAACAGATTATTCTATACCCAACAAAACTCAAGAATGAAAGCAAAATTAAGGTATTCACTGATAAACAAAAACTAAAAAAGTTCATACTAGTAAGCTTGTCCTAAAGAAATGCTAAAGAGCATCCTGGCTGAAATGAAAGGACACTAGGCAGTAACTTAAAGCCATATGAAAAAATGAACACCAGAAAAGGTAACTACATTGGTAAAAATAAAAGCCAGTATTGCACTTTTGGTTTGTAAGTTCTCTTTCTGCTATCTGAGTTAAAGCAAATGCATACAAAAATAACTACAAATCCATATTAATGTGCACACAATGTAAAGAGTTGGAAGCTAAGACAACAACGAGGATGGACTGAAATGTATGAGTGTAGTTTTTAAACCATTGAAGCAAAATTAGTATTATTCAAACTAGAATATTTTAAATTTAAGATGTTAGTTGTAACTATTAAGGTAACTGTTAAGAATATAACTAAAATTTGTATAGAAAAGGAAAAAATGGGAATCAAAATTGTATACTATAAAGTTTCAACTAAATATGAAAAAAGGCAGTTATGGAGGAATTGAACAAAAAACATACAGAAAACAAATAGCTGAACAAGAGAAGTCCTTATGAGTAATCAAATATAAACTCCAATTAAAAGGCATATTTGGAGAAAAGATAAATATAATTCAGCTATATGCTAACTCATACAAAGATACAAAGACAAAATTTTAAAAGTAAAAAGATGGAAAAAATATTCTATGGGAATAGTAATCTAAAGGGACCTGGGGTGTCTAAACTGTTATCAGACAAAATAGATTTTAAGTAAAAAAATATTACAAGAGACAAATGAGGACATTAAATATTGATAAAAGGGTCAGTCCACCAAGAGGATATAACAACCATATATGCACTTACCAACAGAGCTCCAAGATATATGAAGCAAAGGTTGTCAGAATTGAAGAGAAATGGTTCTACAATAAAACTTTCAGTATTAAGCAGAACAGTCAAGCATACAATCAAGGAAATAGAGGACTAACAACACTATATAGTATTTCTCAAGTTAAATTGCCAAGTTAAAGTTCTAGGTGAAAAAAGGGCAGAACATGTATAGTAAATTAGCATTGTATTAAACAAAGGAATACACATACACACATGTAACCTAAATCAATTAGGCCTAACAGACAATTACAGAATACTACACCGAACAACAGAATATATGTTGTTTTCAAATGATACATCCTCTAGGATGAACCATATGTAAGGCCCTAAAAACAAGTCTCAAGAAATTTAAAAAGATTGAAATCATAATAAGTATCTTTTCTGATCACAAAGTAATGAAACCAGAAATCACTAACAGAGGGAAACTGGAAAACTCACAAATATGTGGAAATTAACATAATCTTAACCAAAGGGTCAAAGAAAAGAAATCAACAGAAATTAGAAAATATACTGAGATGAATGAAAATGTAAAGATGATATGCCAAAACATAGGGCATGAAGCAAAAATGTTGCTGAGAGGGAGACTTATATCTGTACTAAATTAAAAAATATATTAATGTAAATAATAAAATACATAAAGTGGAAAGTATACATTAAAAAAGAAAAATACCTCAGATCAGTAACATAACTATACCTTAAGAAACTAACGAAAGAAAAGCAAACTAAATCCAGAGATAGCAGACAAAAATGAAAAGATTAGAGTGGAAATAAGTGAAGTTGGAAACAGATAAACATTAGAGAAAAATCAACAAAACCAAAAGATAGTTTTATGAAAAGATCAACAACACTAATCTTTAGATTGACTAAAAAGGGGAGGAGAGTGAGAAGACTCAAATTACTAAAATCAGAGGACAGTACTACCAGTATTACACAAATTAAGAGGATTATAAGAAAGTAATATGAAAACTATATGTCAACAAATTAGATAACTGAAATGAAATGGGAAAAATCTATAGAAATGAGAAAATCCCCAGAAACACATAAACTACCAAAACTGAATAACTGAAAATCTGTATAGATCTATAACAAGTAAGGAGACAAACAAGAATTAAAAAAAAGTCCCAACAAAGAAAAACTAGGACCAGGTAGGTGGCTTCTTTGGTGAAATTCTACCAAGCATTTAAAGAAAAATAGCACCAATCTTTCTCAAACTCTTCCCCAAGAACTGAATAGGAGGAAACATTAAATCATTCCATAATACCAGCAATACCCCAAAGCCAAAGCCAGACAGACAAAGATACCACAGGAAAAGAAATGACTACACATATCCTTTATGGACATAGCTGAAAAATCAACACAATGTTAGAAAATTAAATCCAGTGGTATATTAAAAGGAATATACCATGACGAAGTGAAATTTATTCCAGGAATGTTAAGGGTGGTTCAACATACGAAAATTAAGCAAAGTAATGCAGCATACTAATAGAATGAAGGAAACAAACACCTGATCATCTCAATTGATGCATAAAGGCATTTGAAAAAAATCCAACACACTTTCAGGACAGAAAACACTCAAACTAGAAATATAAGGCAACTTTTTCAATGTGTTACAGGATATATATAAAAAGTGCACAGCTAATGTCATACTCAGCAGTGAAAAACTGAAAACTTTGCCCTTAAGGGCACAAACAAGCCAAGAATATACAATGGAGAAAGGACAGTCTCTTCGATAAATGGTGTTGGGAAACTGGACAGCCACATGCAAAAGAATGAAACTGGACCATTGCCTTACACCATACACAGAAATTAGCTCAAAATGGATTAGACTTGAACATTAGACCTGAAAACAAAACTCCTAGAAGAAAACAGGCCTCTTGACACAGGTTTTGATGGTATTTTGAATCTGACACCAAAAGGAAAAGGAAAAATAAATAAATAGGACTACATCAAAATAAAAGACTTCTGCACAGCAAAGGAAACCAACCAAATAAAAAGGAAATCTACTGAATAGGAAAAAATATTTGCAAATCCTGTTATCTCATAAGGGGTTAATATACAAAATAGATAAAGAACTTAAATAATTCTGTAGCAAAAAAAAAAAAAAATCCAGTTAAAAACGGGCACATCTAAATAGACGTTTTTCCAAAGATATACAGATGGCTAGTAGGCACATGAAAACATGCTCAACATCAGGGAAATGCAAATCAGAACAACAAAGATAACACCTCATACCTGTTAGAAGGGCTATATCAAAAAGAGGAGAAATAACAGGTGTTGGTGAGACTGTGAAGAAAAAAAAAGTCATGCCCTCTTGGTAGGAATGTAAACTGGTGTAGCCACTATGGAAAACAGTATGGAGATTTCTCAAAAAAATTAGAACTACCACATGATCCAGCAATTCTACTTCTGAGTATTTATCCAAAGAAAATGAAACATTAACTCAAAAAAATGTATCACCTCCATGTTCATTGTAGCATTATTTACAATAAACATATACATAATGGAATATTCTTCAACCATAAAAAAGAATGAAATCTTGTCATTTGCAGCAACACACAGATGAACCTTGAAGGCCTTATGCTAAGTGAAATAAGTCAGAGAAAAAGACAATCTCATGAGGAAGGTGAAAAGAAAGGAACGACACATGCTTGTAGGTGTAGAGAACAGATTGGGGTTGCCAGAGGTGGGGGGGGGCACAGGGCTATTTATGAGAAATACGTAAAGGGGGTCAAAAGGTAAAATAACAATTAAAAAGCTGGAGTCAGGCAACAAAACTAAGATCCAATGGATGTACATGCTCATCTCTAAAAGAGGAAATAATGCCAGCTGCTTTAAGTTGCTGGAGGATT